AGGCGGAAGTAGAAGGGGGAAGGGATAAGCGATAGTGGCAGCAGAACTGAGCACTATGGTCCGGCAGGCGTACTCCATATTTGACAGAGCAGCTCAAGAAAAGTTGATGTTGGAGTATTTCCTGAACATACTGCTGCTAGAACAACTGAAGTAACATGTACAGCTTGCAAAACCATCAAGCCTCCAAGCTGCCGTTGTAAAAACGATGGAGCTCATCCTCAGTGATGGGACTTCAAAACGAGACATGGTGCTACATGGCAGAAAAATCTGAACGGCATGAATAGTGTGTTGGCGGTGCAATAAAAATGGACATCATGCTTTAGACTCTGTAGTTTTCACCCAAAATATAAAGGGGCCCACACACTACCACAACCACACTCTAGACTTAATTCTGACCTTTGGTGTAAACATAGATAACTTAGCCTTTCTCCCCCAGAGCACAGCAGTCTCAGATCATTACCTAATCTCATAGGAAATTCGCTTTAGTGGTAATGTGCATTCATCACCATGCTATCATGTTAAGCAGACTATAACTTCCTCCACAGCTGGTAGCTTTATCAGAAACCTTCCACAATTATCAACTTCGGTCAGCCGTACATCTAATCCTACCAAATTAGATATTATTACAAAGATCTTATAGGATACTTTTCAATCTACTCTAGATAATATGGCTGCATTAAAAAGTAAAATAGTAAGGCAGAAAAAGCTTGCCCCCATGGTATAATGATCATACTCGAGCTTTAAAACAGACTATCAGACAACTAGAGTGAAAATGGTGCCTGACTAAACTAGAAGTGTTCCAGTGCACCTGGAAGGAGAGCCTTATAGACTATGGAAGAGCACTTGCGACAGCATGCTCGACCTACCTGTCTTCTCTCTTAGAAAGGATAAGAATAATCCTAGATTATTATTTAGCACAATTTCTAAAATAACGAAGAACCAAACAGTTACTGAACCCCAGATGCCATTAGCCTATAGCAGCAAAGATTTTATGAATTTCTTTAGTGACAACATTGAAAAACTTAGGCAGAAAATTCATAATGCACAGTTAAGCTCTACAAACCTGTGGCCTCATAATGCCAGTCTAAATCTTGAGAATATTATAATTACTGCAGAAAGACTGGAATCATTTACCTTACTTCAATAAAATGAACTAGTTAAAATTGTTTCCTCTGCAAAATCTTCTACTCATATGTTAGATCCAATCCTAAAGGTTTACTCAAAGAAATTTTGCCAGAAATAACCAAGCCTATTCTGACAATAATAAACTCCTCTCTTAGCTTTGGCTATATCCCAAAAACTCTTAAACAAGCAGTAATTAGACCGCTGATTAAGATTAGTCACTCATTACAGAGATAACCTCGATCCCTGCGAACTATCAAATTATAGACCTTGAATCTCCCCTTTATATCTAAAATCTTGGAAAAAGCTGTAGCAAAACAATTCAATTTCAATTTGTATAGGAATCATACACATGAAAAAATTCAGTTTGGTTTTAGGCCACATCATAGTACAGAGACAGTACTAATAAAAATTGTAAACAATCTTTTATTATTCTCTGACCAAGGAAATGTGTCTTTGCTAGTCCTCCTCGATCTTAGTGCAGCATCAGTTTGTTAATGTAAACGGTGAATCATCTGTCCTCGCAAAAGTGAAGTATGGCATTCCACAAGGCTCTGTTTTAGGACCTATATTATTCACAATATATATGCTACCACTGGGCACCATTATCAGTAAACATGGCATAAATTTCCACTGCTATGCCGATGACACTCGTTATATATATCAAGCGAACCAGATGATAAAATTAAACTTAGTAAGATTGAGGACTGTATAAAAGACATAAAAGACTGGATGTTGCAAAACTTTCTGCTACTTAACTCTGATAAAACAGAGGTTCTGCTTGTTGGTCTAAAAGCTGCTAGAAACAAACTGTCTAATTTTACACTTAAACTTAACAATTTCTCAGTTGCATCAGGTTCATCTATAAAAATCTTGGTGTCACAATAGATCCTGATCTGTCCTTCAACGCACATGTAACGATTATTACTAGGATAGCTTTCCTGCATCTCTGCAATATTGCTAAATTAAGAAATGCATTTTCTCTACAGGATGCAGAAAAGTTAGTTCATGCATTTATTACTTCAAGGCTAGATTACTGTAATGCCCTGCTGTCTGGATGTTCCAGCAAAAGCCTTAACAAGCTTCAGCTAGTCCAGAATGCTGCAGCCAGAGTTCTTACTAGAACCAGAAAATTTGACCATATCAGCCCAGTTTTATCAATCCTACACTGGTTGCCAGTTAAATTTCACATCGATTATAAAATTCTCTTACTGACCTATAAATCTCTAAATGGACTTGCCCCTCAGTACCTGAGTGAACTTCTCTCCTACTATGAACCGTCGCGCCTACTTAGATCACAAGGTGCTGGCTTACTATTAGTACCTAGAATTAATAAAGTTACATCGGGGGGAGATCCTTCTCATACAAAGCCCCCCAGCTTTGGAATAATCTTCCAGTCAGTGTTCGGGACTCAGAAACAGCCCCAGTCTTTAAGTCTAGGCTAAAAACTTATTTGTTTAGTCAAGCCTTTGGTAATTAGTTTTCCCTGTCAGAAAAAATGTGCAGATCTGGGGGTTCATGGTCATAGAGTATTATGGTAAACTGGGAGTGTTGGTGCTGTCATCCCGCTGCTCTCACACGTTCACTCAAGTTTGCTGACAATGGAGTGGAGCCTTCTGGACCAGCTTGACCACCATTGAGCTTCATGCTGTACAATGTTGTGCAAACCTCACTCTCATGAACTGACCCTCCTGATGCTGCTGCTGCTGCTGCTGCATAAACTAAAACTAATCCAATTAACCATTGCTCCACCTGTTTTCCCCCTTTTGTTTTATAATTCTTTATAGTAACACTGTTTGCTATCCGGTGTCGACCAGAAGAGGATGAGTTCCCCTTTTGAGTCTTGGTTTCTTTCAAAGTTTCTTCCTCCTGCTCTTAGGCAAGCAAGCAAGCAAGCAAAGTTTATTTATATAGCGCTTTTTACAACAGGTGTTGTCACAAAGCAGCTTTACAAGGAAATCAGCATTACAGAAAGAAATCCGGGTCCAAGCCCCCATGAGCAAGCCAGAGGTGACAGTGGCAAGGAAAAACTTGTTGGGCCCAAAAGCCTCTCCTCTGTGCTCAAGGCCCGTGGACAGAGATGGGTTCTTCCAGCGTGTTCTAATACTGTTCCCTTAAGAGCTAACTGCAGTATAACTTCTTCTAACAAAATAAGAAAAGTGTCTAAGTGTAAAAGAGCAAAGTAAAATAACAGACTTCAGTCGCTGAGTTCTTGTCGAAGGAAGGAAAAGGCCTTCTTCTTTATTGAGCTTGAATGGCAAGATGGCTCCCGGGCAACCACAATGCAAAGAACTTGTCAAAAACGCCCATTTTTATATCCTGTTTGGGGCTATGAGGTAATCGCCCCTCCTTTTCTATGGGATTCTATACCATCTTAGTTCCCATCATGTCCAAATCTTACATTTCCTTGGGAACGGTTACACTTTCACTTGGGAACCCTTATTTCCAATCATACATGATGTATATATTTTTTAAAAATATCTTAGTTGTACCAGGATGTTCCACTTTCCCAAGGACGCTAGCTCTGACTAGCTGCATTGTAAATTCACCTATTCCAGAACTGGCTCTTATCTCAAAGACAGCTCCTCTTGCTCACACAGCAGATTCTCACAAGCTTCTGGAGGCCTCTTTCCTAAAAAGGGCCCTCTGTGTTCATGTTCTCATGCAAGCTAAGGCCTATCTTACAGTGTAAAGATTACTATTTTTTGGTTAATAAGATCTACTTTTTAGAAATATCAAAGATTATTTGTTCAAAACATCCGTCAACTCCCTAAGAGAAACAGGAAGAAACCTTGAGAGGAACCAAGACTCAGAAGGGGAACCTGTCCTCCTATATAAATAAACTTTGCTTGCTTGCTTGCCATTGGCACAAGCCAGAGCCAGCGGAAAATGAGAATACGACTGCCATGTGAGGGGCGGCAAGTCCCCTGAGAGAATAAATCTCAGCATCACCGCCATGGTTGGCGAGAGCTGGTAGTGAAGTGGGTTGGGGTTAGCTGAAGGGCAGAAATAGCAGTTATAGGAGCTTTTTGAGCAGTTATAGTGACATTTTTGCAGCTATTGAGGAGGAATATTTGTGGAGCATAACAACACTGGTGATGCTGCTCCAATTCAGAACAGATGAGACTACCGAAACTCAAATTAAAGAACTAAGCAAACAGGAGAGAGCACTGCCCACAATGAAGATCAGGCAAAAGAAAAGCCTCTTTCAAAGCCCAAGCAAATGACAGAGACAAAGTAAAGCTGCAGATAAAGGTAGGGATAGTGTGTAGGTCATAACAAGCCCAGAGCTTGCCAGCATATTGGAAGACACATAAGTGTGGTAAAAACAATCTTTGTGGCAAATACTGCAGTTCAAAAGGCATCAAAACAAGTGTGCATTCTGTAGATAAAGGCCCAGTGACTTTTTCTAGACTCTCTGCAAATATGTGTGAAAGGATATTTCAGAGGAAAACGTAAGTGTTTTGCACATCATGAGTTGCTTCCTCCTTATGTTCCCGATTAAAACAAATGTTATATTTTCAACCTTGGCGAAACAATCTTAACATATAATTTTAACTAAGCAATCACCTGATCCTGAGTGTTTAATGTAATTTTGTGTGCAATCCTCTCTCTAATGCATATGCATGAGGAAGACAAGATCATTCTGGATTTTTCCGTGTTCACAGCCCAGAAACTGTGAATTTACTCTTATGCATCAGTTTTATACATAACACGTAGGCAAAATGCTTCTAAAACCAGAGTAAAAGGCTCGGTACCACAGGCCCAGAATGTATATGAGTGAGGGAAAGTGAGAGATAGAGACAGAAAGAGAAAAAGAGAGACAGATAGATTTGTGTGTGAGATTATGTTTATGACTGTTAAGATTTTCTCCACAGGGTGTCTAGCTGCGGTATTATCGAGGAAGTCTGTGATGAGCTGGTTTTGGCTCTGAAATTAAACCCATCACACCTGAGAGAGCTAAATCTGAACATCAGTAAACCAGGAGAGTCAGGAGTGAAGCTGCTCTCTGAACTACTGGAGGATCCACAATCTAAATTGGAGAAACTACAGTGAGTTTCTGAATTGATATATAATTCATGTTGTATAGGCAAAGCCACACACATACACTGCAACCACAGATATTATTAGAATGGTCTAAAACACTTCAGATCTACTGACCTCGTTCAAAGTCAGAGTACAACAGCCATTTTGCACTTTTAACTGACATGGACTTTAGACTCTTTGCTTTGAGTGACCTATACATTAACTATTTTTATTTTATTAAAATATACAATGAAACATTCCATTTTGTCACTATCACAAAAATCATAACACTATCGAAACTCACCAAATGTTTCAGCAATGATTTTTTGTTAGTGACCAATTTAGCTCATTTTGAGCACAACTCAAAAGCATCAGCCAGTACATGGCTAGCAAATACAGCTTTGACCAGCTGTACACACATAAAACCATAATATTTTTCATTAAACCACAAAAAAACATTCACTGAATTGCAGAAAATATGTGTTTTGTTAATGCTACGCACTGATTCTCAGACTTTGGGATACATTTACTTCAAAACAGATGTGTGTGTGTGTGTGTGTGTGTGTGTGTGTGTGTGTGTATGTGTGTGTGTGTGTGTGTGTCATTAATGAAGGTTGCTGTGTGTCACTTTTGTGTTTCTCATTTTGTCCATTTCATCTGCTAACTGTTTGACGTGCATCTGATAGATCATCATTTCTCTCTCAGGCTGCGTTACTGTGATCTCACAGAGAAAAGCTGTGCAGTTCTGTCCTCAGCTCTCAGCTCAAACTCCTCAAGTCTGAGAGAACTGAACCTCGGTAACAATCAGCTGCAGGATTCAGGAGTGAAGCTACTCTCTGCTGGACTGAGGAATCCACAATGTAAACTGGAGAAACTGGAGTAAGATCATCACTTTTACTCACACACACACACACACACACACACACACACACACACAGAGTTGTTCATCCTCTGTTTCTGATGAAACTATTTCAGTGTGTGTGTGTGTGTGTGTGATTCTCTAATATTCTATTATAATTCTGTGTTTGTCTGTGAGATGTTTACAGATGTTAATAAAGATGTGAGTTTTTTTTTCTCTCTACAGTCTGTCTGACTGCAGTATTACAGAGGAAGGCTGTGCTGCTCTGGTTTCAGCTCTGAAATTGAACCCCTCACATCTGAGAGAGCTAAATCTGAGCTACAATAAACCAGGAGAGTCAGGAGTGAAGCTGCTCTCTGATCTACTGGAGGATCCATACTGTAAACTGGAGTGAGTTACTGCATTGATATTTTTCAACCAGTGGATGGTGATCTACAACATTTTAAACTCCTTCCATAAATACACACAGATACACAGATTGTTGTGTATGAGAGATCCTGAGGTCTGTAAAAGGAATGAATCAGCCAATATGTTTTTGTTGGGTTGTGTAGTTTGAGGTGTTCAGTGAATGGTTCTGATACAGTTTCTATTCTATTTTGTATTTGTGTGATACTATTCACAATTGACATATGTGGGATTTGTAGTGTTTATTGGGATGCTGCTCTGATGCCTTTGATGCCTTTTTTCTTACCAAGACTGGGAACTTCTTTATAATGTGTTTCAGGCAGACAGAGAAAGAGCAATTTTGAAAAAAACTGGAGCACTCTAGCATCATTTGCTAATTTTCTAAATCTTGTCATAACTGTACAGAGATGCTTTGACACACTACTTTTCTTCAGCATATTAGCATATTACTGTTGTAATTGTTAAATGCTTTTTAGTTTAATCCACTTCATTGACTGATTGTTTTTGACTCATCAAAAATAAAAAACAATTTACAGATGAAAGTTAGTATAAAGCTGACTTAAAATGTGTTGCAAAAAGAGTTTACAAAAAAAGAGAAAGAACTGAAGGAATGAGATTTGCAATTACTTAACAAACACATTCAGAAAGCTTTGCCTGGGTGCTAGCAGGTTTGTGTATGTGTGCATGGTCAAAAGACTGTGTGTCACCTTTTCAGCCACAAACCACATTTAGGCTCCCTCTCGCTATAATCAACTTGACCTGTAGGGGCGACTCACAAAGAGAGAAATGAATACACACAACACAAAATCAACATTCTAGCTGAGGCTCCTACAGCTGTCTTCATGAGTGAGTCTATGAGAGAATCAGAACTGTTTATTGGTCTATTAGTGTTGATGAGGCTGTACTGTTTATCTAGTGATGGTGTTTATCCTGATTGTGTCTGTGTGTGGAGTCTGAGTGCTGACTGTGATCAGTGTGTGTTCATGTCTGATCATTCTGTCCTGTTTCCTGTTTTACAGCATCTGAACCAACAAACACCTGACCTGGTCTGAGTCTCACACACACTGGGGGTTATGAGGAGAGGATGAAGTCTTATAGAACACACACACACACACACACACACACAGTGTGTGATTCTACATGGTAATGTGTGTGTTTTCAGGTCTTTTTTGGTCAAATCTGTGAACATAGCTGCAGCACAGCGATGTATGCTCTCCTTTGACCTCACTTCCTGTTCATCAGTGACCATATATCCAGTGTCCAGTCCATCAAACACGCCACATTTGAGGATAACCCCACATTCCTGATTGGTAAACGTGGAGATCTTTAAGATCATGGAAGCCAACAATCTCATACACATACATCCAGATATGAGAGCACAGAGAGGCTCCTGAAAAATGACTGAATGAGCTCTGCTGTTCTCTAATATTATATTTATTTAGCTTCCTTAGTATGTATGGCAGATTACTAGTTTGTTTTCATGATGTTTTTAATTATATCTGAACAGACTATGCACCCCATGGCAGGACTTCATTACCAGGAAAATTATTAGTTCTGCTAATTTATATTTTGTAAAAATTGTAACAAAACCTAATAATGTAGTAACTCGCCTAATACTGTCTTAACTGATATTGTAATAGCATTTTTCGATCATTTAATATGATATAATATTATTTGGAAGGTATTATTTTTATTATCATTATTTATTTTCCACTGATATTTTAACATTGTTCACTTGGAATTTATATTCTAAAAATATTAAATTCTTAGAGCATATCCTGTATCATTCCCAGTACAAAAAATGTACAGAGGCACATAAGTATATATAGCCAGACATTTTTTACATTCTACCAGACAGCACAGCATTCTCTGAGAACAGCATTCAAGACAACCATCAGACATTAGACTCTGGCTCCTCTTTCTACAGCAGGTTCCCCATGTAACTCCAACTGCCACAGACTCCTGAGGAAAATCACTGTGCTAGAGACAAGAATACTCACCAGACAGCCAGACATAAACTAAGAATAAACAAGGGAAATGGATCCAGTTATTCCACTCAAAGGTCAAAGAGTCAAAAGGAGCTAACATTAACACAGCTCAACACGGTAAGCTAAACCTAGAGAATTCAGCAGATTTTCTCAGCCAGACCTCGGTCAAAAATGGTGAACAGACCCTAGCCATATGAGAATATAAGCTAGTGGCACAAGTTTGGAGCAAAACTGAAAGTGGGTTACTGTGTTAATGTCCTCCACACCAGACTGTTCAGACTAATGATAGCGCTAAAAGTCATAATTCTGTGTTAAATATAGCCAGATGAGCTTGGGAGTACTTTAGAAAACTGTTGTCACTTAACACAGTCCGCTGCTGCATCAAGAATATAGTTTGAAACTCTATTGTGCAAGGAGGAAGCCGAACATCAGTTTTATGCAGAAACACTGCCCAGTTCTCTCGGCCCAAGTGTGTAATCAAAGGAAAGGTACTGTAATAAAGTGGTAGATATGCCTCTATCCCAACCTTTTTTGAATGTATTGTGGGCATCATATTCTAAATTTGTTTATATTTATAAAATACAATTAACTTGGTCAGAGGAAACACCTGTCCAGGGTGTATTCTGCCTTCTGCCCAATGGGATAGACTCCAGCACCCTCAAGGATAAGTGGTGTAAAAAATGTGTGCGTTGTCAGTGAAAACACTGGAAATCATTTTTTTGTACTTTTGTCAGTTAAATAAAGATTCAAGAAAATGAACAAATCCAAGATTCTTGTTTTTAATGCATTTTTTACTTTGCTGAAAACAGGGTTTGTAGACTGACATTATACTAGTCTGGAGTTCTCTTTATATTTCACCTTCACCTGCAGCCATGAGTATTTTACACTCACCTCCACCACCACATCGTTTTGATGGAACCATGAATACAATAGTTTTATATTAAATATTGCTGCTTTAAATTATTTAGTCTAATTATAAACTAGTTTTCCAGGTCTAGGAGTTCAGAATATCGTACCCAAGACAGTAGAGTATTAGAATATGCAACGTATGAAGCAGCATTAAGCTGGTTTACTGCATACATGAGCCACAATCACCTGACCTCTGGATTCTGAAATAATAATTCAGAGAACTCAAATATACATGATATTATTGTATTTAATATAAACATATGCACATGCTTTTAAACTGTATTCATATAGCTTTCCATAAAAGTAAACATATAACAGTGTGTTACCTTGAGTCCAGAAGATCATAGTCCAGATGAAGATGGTGGTGAAAGTCATGTCTGCTGTGGGTGAAGTTTGTGGGGCAGCAGCTCTCAGTCATGAAGTGTTAAACTCACAGGACTATAAACTCTCCCAGAGCACCGAAGCATGTGCTGATAATGCAAAGTCAGCTCTCTCTATGGAAATGACTCTATTGGCTGCAGTGATCATGTGACATTGAGTATAACAGCATGGAAACAGAAGGAGTTCTTCAGTTTAGAACTGCTAAATGTCAAACAGAACCAAGACAATATATGTGTTGTTCATCAGCTTCACTGAGTCGCAGTGGCTCCTCTGCAGCTAAGGGAAGTTTTTAAGCGGCTGTTCTCAGATCAGTGAGCGTCTCTGAGTCAGAGCGGCTCCTCTACAGCTGAGGGAGGATTTTGAGCGGCTGTTCTCAGATCAGTGAGTGTCTCTGAGTCAGAGCAGCTCCTCTACAGCCGAGGGAGGTTTTTGTATGGCGCTCTATCCCTGTGTGAATGGGGTGATATAATCCTGCTGACAATAATAATCTCCTGCATCTCCTGCATCTCAGTTCAGCTCAGTTCAGCCTGGGATGCAGTAATAATCTCCTGCATCTTCAGGCTGAACTCCAGTGATCTTCAGAGTGAAATCTGTTCCAGATCCACTTCCACTGAAACGATCTGGAACCCCAGGCTGATGGTTTGATACATAATAGATGGAGTTTAGGAGCTTCTCCAGGTTTCTGCAGATACCAGTCAAACTCAGTACCACAGTTTTCACTGGCTCTGCAGCTGATAGTAACAGTCTCTCCTGGAGAAACTGACAGAGATGCTGAGTCAGAATTCTTTCACCCATGGACTTAAAAAATGAAATGTGCATTTAAAATCACCACAACAATTTAAGAATAGGGGTTAAAAAATTTTAACAGTATTCCTTATGTCTCATAAAACAAAACATATTGTGTTAAAAAAAAATTCCAAGGAATGTGTTTGTTCTTAACCATACAAACAAACAAACAAACAATAGTGATTTAATATTTATAAGACTTTTTCAGATCATTCTGTGGTATTCAATATAAAGGTTCTCTGTGATCAGTCCCAGTGCTCCCAGCAGAAGAACCAGTATGATCATCATTGTGCTGTGTGTCTCTGAAAGGACTGAAGACTGATCAGCACTGCAGCTCTTAAAGTGTGTGGAGCAGTGAAGCAGCTCACATATGCAAACAGCACAGCTCTCTGATCCACACCAGCAGCACAGAGTCTACATTAACACTGATAATATTCTCTAAAACTACACTTTACTAACTATTAACCTTAATAATCAATACAAATAATAATGTTTCATATCCATCTACAGACTGAATCTTCACAAACATCATTCTGCACTGGCTTTTACCCCCATTTACATCTGAAAACACTAAAACGCCACTTAGTCACAAACAGAGTCTCCAGATCAGAAAAGATCAGCTCAGCTTATACAGACAGTACAGCTCCACACTGAAACTCACACAGTTCTCAGGACTCAGAGGATGAACATCACAAAGAACAAAATCAGTTAAATTAACATAAAAAACAAGCATTTTTAAACTCTAAGAGTCTGTATATCAGTCACATTTCCATCCTCTCTCATAACAACAGAACATACAGATCAGTTTCATGAAAATATTGGTAACACTTTACATTAAGGGTCGCTAATCAATCATTAATTATATAATAATCAACTATTAATTTCCCATTATTTAGTTATTAGTTAACTCTTCATTAAGCATTAGCTATTACTTAGTAATTGATTAAGCACTTATCAATTAGTAATTAAGTACACTGTTAGGTCATAAGTTAGTTTGTCGTTAGTTTGTGGCTTACTTACTCATTATCTGTGTGCTAATTGCTGCTTATTATATTGTTACTTAACTAATAAGTATTTTTCTTCATATAAAGAAGTAACGTGATAACTTACTAGCACTTATGTGTTAATCCCGCTAATTATCTGTTAATTAACTTTCCATCACCTCCATATATTCAGTTGCTTCACTTTTCTCACTTTGGTTCTTGTTCATTAAAGATGCTTATGGTCACATCTGACCGTAAGATGAGCGCACACAAATTCACTGACGGTTTTGTTATTCATCACGTTCATCTTGGCATATCTGTACAAACTAACTCATATCTGTATATCTGGTAGGAGTGCATGTAAATTTGGGCATAAATGCTGGATATGTGGCTAATTAACCAAAACTATTATCAACATAATCTGTAATTGCAAAAATAAGAACAACAGTAGAAAATTTCAATAATACTAATTTGTGTGCATAACAGTCCAGTACAAAAGTGGATGTACTTACTTTACATGCACATTGATATAAACAAGTGCTGCAACTATTTCATGTTCCATTTAAAGACACAATACACTGTGCTTTTGTTTCATACTACTGACTCACAAACACAGCTTTGGTCATACACTGCAATAATACAGCGTTTATTTTAGGGAATTAATTACACTAAACAATCACTTTTTATTTTTTTCCCAGTTGTTGTCATTTTAATACTATTAAGTTTGGTCAGCAGGGGAGGAGTGCACTCACTGCTGGACATCAAACTCCGCCCACGAGCACGGCCATTAGCTTTCATGCCAAACACTGCCGTTTTATTGGCTGGCTACTGAAACATCTGTATGAATAATCTGTGCTTCATGCTGGTAGGCTGGTTTCATGCACTCAAGCTGATTTATCATACATACATACATCTTCTAAACCGCTTATCCTTCTGGGTCGCGGTGGGGTGCTGGAGCCAATCCCAGCTGTCATTGGGCGGAAGGCAGGATACACCCTGGACAGGTCGCCAGTCCATCGCAGGGCAGACAGACAGACATACACATTCACACCTAGGGGCAATTTTAGCATGTCCAATCAGCCTGACTGCATGTCTTTGGACCGTGGGAGGAAACCGGAGTACCCGGAGGAAACCCACGCAGACACGGGGAGAACAGGCAAACTCCACACAGAAACGACCCTGGTCACCCGGCCGGGAATCGAACCCAGGCCATTTTTGCTGTGAGGCGACAGCGCTACCCACTGCGCCACCGTGCCGCCCTGATTTATCATTTGTGCTCAAATCTCCACTTGTTTCCACATCGTACAAAATTGCTATGAATCAGAGGCAGAGCAGTTCATACCTTCACCATTCATTGCTTCTTAAATTCCTCTTACTCAACCATTAATTACTTCTTAAATTCCTCTTACTTGACTATTACTTCTTAAATTCCTTACTCAACCATTAATTACTTCTTAAATTCCTCTTACTTGACTATTAATTACTTCTTAAATTCCTCTTACTTAACCATTAATTACTGCTTTTGTGTCCCTCCAAGTAAAGTGACAGACTTTCCCATTAACTATACTATGAACTAATGTTTAAGACATGAGTACTTACTGATACATTAATTGCTCTTTACTTGTTTTTGTGTCCCCTCAAGTAAAGTGGAAACACACATACATTCACAATTGACATGTTCATTCTGAATGATTTTACTCAATAAACCAAACAGAAATCAGGAACCGTTCAGCTTCTTTATTGAAAACAAAAGAGGGAAACCTCAAAGAGGTTTCTCTGATTCAGTGTTTCTTTGTAACTTTCCAAAACGCAAATACAAATACAAAATGTTTATACATTTGCACCTTCAAAACTCTACAGAGGAAAAAAAAGAAAGAAAAAACTAAGAACACAACACTTTATCTTCTTTTTAAACACAAATATACAATATGCAAAATGTAAACTACTTCAGTAAATAGCACAACTTAAAGGATGCATGCAATGGCAAATGGACTTCTTAATTTGTTTTAAATAGAACAGTTAGATGTAGTATGAAAGGCTGTTAAAGTTTCAACATGTACCATTCATTCTCAGTACATCCAATGTATTGAAAATAAACAGCAAAAACAAATATTTACAAATATCTGCCTATTTAGCCCCACCCATTCAGCCCACTAACATGTAAATGACTCCTTTTAAACAAGACGATATGCGGGACAGCCAGTCAGAACCGAACTCGTTTGGTAACAAAAACAGCTTGTTTAATTCTAAAATAAACAGAGAGGGGAAAATGTTATGAATAACCTTTATCTGTGGATTTTATTGGAAAAAAATAAAAGAAAAAGTAGTATTCTGGGCCCTTTAACAAGACCTTGGTTTGTAGGCTGCCATCACTTTTCAGAAAAAATCTGAAAAGTGACTACTGACCTCTTACTACTAACTACTAATGACTAAAAATATCCAGCAACTTGCCCTCCTGTTTCAGCTGATCACATTTAATTTTTAACTCTGGTTGGTTTTGGATGACTGCCCTACATCTATCAGCAAAATCATAGAGTGTTTCCCCTTTTCGACCCCCTCAGTGCATGCTGAAAGAGGAGTGAAGATTTCCATAGGTTACCGGATCCAGCATTTGTAATTCAGCAATAGGTGCTGTGTCAACTATGGTTTTCCTGTTCACACCAACAAATCTGTATGCCTCTGTTTT